TCCTGGGGCGTTCTTGCCCAATTGATGGTTAGTCACTTGCGTGAAGAACCAGGGAGGGTGTTCGTGAGTCTGCGAACATTGCTGTTGGATACATGTGCTGGATGATTTAGTGTCACGCAGACTGGTAAGATAACCGTTTGATAGGGGGCACCGCGATGATTCACGGGGCCCCTCCTTGCTGTGGGAGCCGCTCTTTGAGCACTCCCTCTTTCGTCCGTGTGAAGGACGGTCGTCTACCTCCCGTGAAGTTAATACATCACCAAAACAGTCTCACCCGATAAATAAGTGGCGTAGGCCGCAAACACAGCAGTGCACGTTTCGTCTCGTGTTGTAGTTGCCTCCCTCCATGCGCGGCGTGCCACTATTACTGGATATCAGCGTTTACACATTTCGGGTACACTGTATTTGTGCTGGACGCATCGTCAGCCAAGTACCACGGGAGGAAAGGGGCCACACAGGATTGATTACTTCCCTCAACTTTTATGCTGTGCTACTTGCCTTAATCTTTATCGCTAGAAGGATGAACAGTTCCTTTCCCTCGTCGACCATGAAGTCGAAGGTGCATCGCAGGCACATACAATGGCGTTCCGCATTTGGGAAAATGTGAAAAAAAAGTTCCCAACTCCTGTGATTGCCACGACATTCAACACCGACGTCCTAAACGTCACAAGGTTGCGAGTGTACCAACTGAGTCATCCAACCACTGCTGTGTGACCAAGGTCACGGAGGCGGAAGGAATAATGGTCTTTTCGATTTCGTAACAATATTTTCCGATCGTCCACTCTTTTCGACTAAATAGAGATTCACCTGGCTCAAGTTCGGATTCGAAAGAAAGGAAACGATGCAATCTATTCCGGGCTTGGGTGAACCGGGACCAATGTTAGCGAGGAGCGGTCAAATCGCACGCACGGCGCATGCCCACGTACCCCAATCCACACCTCCGAGCGAGAGAGAGACACACAGAGAACACACAAACCTAAGGGTGACTGTGCATCGTTGTACATACACCTGGCGCTTAAAACTGTGTGAGTGTATAAGGGACATGCTCCTGGGTGTTGTCGAACTAGAAATGCAAAGACCAATTCGTTGCTGTCTGTCTCATGAAGCTAAATTCAGAATCTCACATGCACAGACATACTACTATGATAGTGTGCGTCAACACAGTGGCCATGTTGGCATTTGGCCTGTGCTCCTCGGCGGGATTGACTCCCCATGTGGTATAGCTACATGTACGTCACAACAGCAATCTGGAAACTGGCAAACAGCGAATCTTTCGGGTTATTGCACGTGTTGCGTCAAGGTTTGGTCCTCTTGTTTTCAGATAGGCCGTTAACCCTCCAGTACGCAGTCCCTCCACAAAAAAAATATATCGCAAAATGTTCGCCAGCCAGTGCCGAGGGCCTACCCTCCCTCCAAATATATCGGAGAGTGTCGAGCCCTATGCCAGACGCAGCGTCACCTCAGTATGAAACGTGTCCCAAAAACGTGGGGATACTTTGAGACTCTTTTCATACTGGAGGCAAGTCAGCAACTTTTTCCAGTAACAGGGCATAGTCTATATACAGCAGTTTTACCACCCGTAGGGGACACGCGGCTTGGGAGATTGTGTACAGCGAGTCAGAAACCGAGAAGAGGCATCACACATCATATCACACAACGTACCACCTAACCCAAGCACCATAGACCGAGGGTTCTCACGTGCGTTTCACATAGTCGGGGAGCCTGAGGGCAACTAACGGAGCGGTAAACAGACATTTTAGTGCTGTGTCCCCAGTCCCCAAAGTTTCCCCATTTGGGCGTCCAGTACTAAGAGCGATAACGTAGCGGTGGAGTTGGCAGATGCCTTCTTCAGAAAAACAGGAAACGCCGGCATTACATCTTGATACCATCGAACAGAACCATCCGCAGATGTCGCTTGTATACAATGTTACTAGCTCAGACTGTAGCCCTTGTGATACATTACTTATTTGTTGTCCTCGACTTTCAAAGGGTAATTTAACCGTCGAGATCGGTGAGCAACAAGCACAGGATTATTGAAGCTGCTGTGTTGTCCGATTTTCAAGCGCTTGAAGAACCTTTGCTTATAGCTGGACCTACATGTACATCACCCCAGGCATTCAAATCGCCGAGGGCGACGAATAAGATGGGCGAGGGAAGAGCTGCGCTAACGTTCGCGGCTTCACACACTCACATTGGCGGATATGCACGGTCACTGTGTGCTTGAAGAGTTCGAAAACCGGATCGCACCGCAGCTTCAATAATCTGCTTGCATTGTATCTCACCGATCTCGATGACAAAAGATCCAATGGAAAATCGAGGACCGCCAATCTGTAGTGTACCACAAGGGTGTCTCGCAAGAACTATCTACTACCGTAACGTTGTACACAAGCGACATCGACGGACGGTTGCTGTGCGATGGTAGATTGATAATGAGCCGCGAAGCGCGAAGCATGACTTCTTTTCTTTTCATCCCAGGAGGGGTACAAATCCTCTAAATGTGAGCCTGTTCCTACACGATGCAGGGCCCCCGAAATTGATTGCGGGGAAGCCTAAATAATCCTCCTTTTCGACCCAACCAAGACCAATAGGGCACCGTGTTGCCTTCGAGGGAGAATGTAAATAGGACACTCTTCATCACGCTGGTTTGGTCGTGCTCGGACAACAGATGGACGTGCTACATAGGCACTGTGCCCAAAATTCGGGGAGATACCTCATTCCGACCCCTGGAGTTGTGGGGGTAATGGAGGCACATGACATGGAAGTCGGAGTTCGCACGCACACGGTTCAAACCCGTAGGAAGAACAGAGGAAAAAACTACAGACATCGCTGGGCCACAGCTATCAAAAGTAGCAGGTGCCGAGCCAAAACAACCTGCGCGCCGTGGATATAGCCAATCGGTCTGACAAACGCTCACGCACGTGGACACGGATCGAGAGAAACCTTCGAGGGCGTGAGCGTCGTCTATTGCTGTGCGTTCTCAGGGTGATTTACCCTCTATCGTTTCATGACAGGTTGCTTACACCCCGCTGCTGTCTTCGTACAAGCGAACGAAACGAAACGAAACGAAACGAAACATGAATTTAGGCAAGGCCGTCTGCTTGCCATTGTTCATACCGACTCTCTCTCGGGAAATTCATGGTCAACGGCTTCCTCTGTTGCTTGGGGAACAATAATGTAAACTGCTCGCTCGTCACTACGTGGGACAATTGGCAGGGTTGAGACGATTGAATGTGGCGGGTAAGTTGAGAGCTTGCCGCACAATCCGTCACGTTGCCGCGACGCTGTGTCTACGCTGCTGTTGGTGTTCTGCGGCGGTGTGATTTGCTCATCATCGCCGGATACATTCGTGCAGCATTCAATGCCTCTTCCTGGCATGCGTATTTGCGTCCGCATCTTCGCATTTGCGCGCGGCGAAGAAACTTACAGTTATTGTTCTTCGCCAGTGCGTGGCATCAACGGAAAACTAACAACGTCCGCGTACCCCGTCGGCACACAAGGAACTCCTCGTCGCCCCCGTCGCACGCGTGTGCCTATTGCACCTAGCTACACTGGCTACGCAGATAGACAAATGTAAGGCACTGAGCCGTACCCCGCGGCTCACTACCCGCGCCACATGATACTGGAACTAATTATTGAAAAACTAAGACATGCAGGCGTTTCCTGTTTGTTAAAGAGGAGACCTGTCAACTCCACCGCGTCCTTGTGACACGCTCTGGGGCATCTGAGTTCGGATACAGTGAACCCTCTCCTAAGGACGCACATCGCTTTGGATGTGTTGTTGCGTCCTTAATAGAGGGAAGCGTCCTTAACTTTCAGGGGGCGATAACTCGCCATACCCGGGGTCAACGGAAGCGGTTTATCCGTGAAACGACGCGCATTTTGCAGGAGAGGTCAAACCCGCGACGCGACAGCACCAAAAGGGCGACGAGATCCCGTAGTTCTCGTGAAATCCAGGTTTGTGCAATACTTCGAAGTGTCCCAACTTCCCCGATTACATACTTTATCCCACATGGTTGCTTAATTAATCTAAAAACCGTGCGAAGGCTATTAACATCAAGGTTCGATTGATGGGAACAACACCCACCGCTGCGTAGTGTGAAGCGATCGACTGCTGCCCCCCTGCACGACCGGCTGACAGTGAGCTAGTGCTACAGTGCAGTCCAGACACAGTGTTGCCCTAAGCCACCAAGCCATGGCAAGACCACGCCACGAAGAGTTGCCTGGACTTCGCCCTCTTCCTTTGCTCCACGATATACTTGAGTTTCATGAGTGGGCAAATGCACCGCTCTCGACAACAAGTACTGGGTTCCACTGTATTCCCCATCCCTTCCGTTTGCGTACAAGAAGGAGCAAAGTTCATCGAAACGACAGTGAACCCGAGCCTCTGTAAGCGACGACATTATGCACGACTCGGGCCTACCACCACGACTGCCGTCTTCGTCTTCGCTCGCTCGATCCGTCATCGATTTGTACGTCGGCGAGGCACTGCCCTACAGCCTGCATTTCTAGTTCTATCCATTCTTCCAACACCTCCGGGTCGTCCTCTACACCGAGCCTCTCTGTGTCCGAAACCGTCTTCCCCGATGCCTCAGCCACAAAACCCATGCATCGACCGCCCACAAGGACACCAGTGCACTCCCGCGATGGCGGCAGATTTTATCGGGCATGTCGTTTCTCCAAATGTCATGACACTGGATGCACACGAACCGCCAGTAGGTGATAGGAAGTATCCATTCTGCAGTGTGCCCACGGACCAACAGCGGACCGTACTCACGCTGTCTACCGCGAGTGTATATACCGCAGCAGGCAGCACGTTGTCTCTGCCATGCGAAATACACGCGATACCCCCAAGGTTTACGTCTTCGGGCCCCCTTTATACATTCTGCGGGCCACCCTTCTTCTAGGTTCGACTGTATGGGCAGATCCAACTCTTCTATTCCAATGCGCAAAAGTGAATCGGGACATGACTTTTTCGTGAAGCCCTAACCTACAGTAGAGCATCTGGCCATCGTGAATGGGCCCGAACCCCCGCCATCGCTCCTGACAGCGTGCGCTTGGGGAGGCGGTTGTCCTCCATGCACATAACAAAGCCCGCGAAACACAGTCTCCGTTTGCGCACGGTGGCCTCGATGGTTTCCTCGCAGCCTGCCTGGATGAGGGCCCGGGCAAAGGACAGGGGGCGGTCTGAGCGTTTCCGCTTGCTCCAGCCGATGCACCGTGTAAGGAACTGGCGATGGGTCCCAATGAGCTTCGTGTAGTGCTCTGCTGTTAGGCTCCACGAGGCGCACCCATACAGGAGAGTCTCCACCACTTCAGCCTGGAGTAGCCGGATCTTGAGCTTGCGGTCGACCCGTCGCCTGTCGTACATCGAAGCACTCTTCCGGCGGTAGCACTTCCACGCTCGGCAGCTGCGGCTCGTGATCTCCCGGTCGGCCTTCCCGTCCGCGGAGATGGTACGTCCGAGGTACACAAACCGATCTGTCTGCTTGTACGTCTGGCCGGCGGCGCTGACCGTGAACGGGCATTCCTCGATCCCTTTCGG